TAACAGTGTGTGGGGGTGTGTGTAGAAATAAAACAAGCTTCACCATTTCCTTTCCAGCTACAAGATATGCTGAGTCCAATGTACACGTGGGCCATACATAAGTATTTACTCCTGGGGGCAAGGCAGGATCATTACTTTCCCTAGTGCTACATGGGAAGAGTATTTGGTTATTTTATTAATTAATCTGTAGCTCCTAAACTGTTGCTGTTTTTCTTTCAGTGAAACTTTCCCTCCAACATCTTTCAGGTTTTTCCCTGTTAAACTCTCAGTAAGTCTGTTCTCCCATTGCCTCCCATGTTCTGCTGATCTGTTCCCTCAGCTGCTGGGCTGTCTATAAAATGGGCAGGTTAGTGGGGCTCCTGTTGTGTATGATCCATGCAGTGTCACTTTTCTTAGGAGCCCTGTTTTGGAGCAGGATTCCTGTTAGCTGTGGTGTTCCTGGCCTGTGGGTTGAGCACCTCATTCTGCACACATTTTCAATGTGCACAGACTCAGAGTATGTAGGATTTAGTTAATGCTGTCACTTGGTTTTGTTTTGAAGAAGCTAAAATAATATTTGTGCTTAGGCAGGAAGCTGGTTTTGTTCCTGTTTTGGGTTGCTTGACCCAAATGGATTTGCCTGAGTTTTCCTGAGTCTTGTGGTATTAGATACCATTATTCAGCAAGTTGACAGCTTGCACTGGAAGACTTCCAAGAAGTGGTATCCAATGGTTCATGAAGTTTCTGGAGTCTGACTGTTATGTGTTTCTCCTGCCTGTGGAATATTACTCTGGTGAACAGGGAACATTTTCCCTACATGTCTGTGGGTGCCTACTGAGACCCTGAATGGTGGCTAAGAGCATGGAGAGGAAGGAGCAGTCAGTAGCTGGTCACTTCCCCAGTGCATCATGTTGTCTTGCCTGGCTGTTTAGGACAGGCTGTATTTGAGCTGATGCTGCTGTTGAACATGAGCAAACCTTCCAGGTTATGCTTTTTTTTTAGAAAGGGAAGGGTGCACCTTCCTGTTGGGTGGATGAGGAAGGATCAGAGGTGCTGAGCAGTTGGACTAGTGGATTTTTTTCTCACTCCTACCACCCCTGGAACAGGTTTGATTCCACTGGATTCTGGTTTACTGTTGTGCACTCTTTGGGCTGTGGCCCTCACAAAAATCTGAGGGCCATGAACTTGAAAGAGTTCACAGCTCCAGGAGCTGCTTGGGAGGGACCTGTTGATAAAGTCTGTTCATATGATAAACAGATAGGTGCTGTTGCCTATGCTGGTACTCTGCAGGTGCTTCTAAAGCACACTAATACTAAGCCATTTCCTGGGATGGATGGCCAAGATTTGTTTCACATAGGGCTGCCTGAATAATAAATGCCTTTGTTTTGTAGGTTAGGAAGGAAATGAGGGAAAACATTTTTCTGTGTTGCCAAAGGTAATCTTAATTCCAAAGCCCCATTTCAACAAAACAGACAGGCAGTACCCTTGAACACATCCTTAAAGCAAAGTACCAAACCCTGTACTCAAGTGTTTGCTTCAGGTCTGTTCTCCATTTTTCAAAGCTCATCTGGAATTGTTCTATTACCTGAAAAAGGACCTTATTGCTTATGTTTGCATTTTTAAGAGTATCTTTAAAGGTACCCATCTCTTCCAAAAGCTGAAGCCACCTCCTCCCCTTGAAGCTGGCACAGGGCATTACAAATAAGGGCCCCTTACGTGTTAGGGATCCTGCCTTTGTGTGCAATTGTCCCTTGGAGTAGTTAACCTGAGAAATTGTCAGATCCACCTGCATTATTTAAGCATAAATGCTGTAAAGCAGCAGATGAAGTTGTATATAATTCAGTGGTGATTTCAGGCCATTTCTGACACTGATATAAAACGATGCTAGAATAAAATGAGAGCATTGCTTTGTACCTTCCTGTTGCATCACCCAGTTACTGTGAAGATGCCATTGTACACTTGGGCATCCTGGACAAGGGAGAGAATTGCAACACTTGCTCTGCCTTGGAACCTTGCCATGCTGCCGTGTGGCTGAGCAGGGCTCACCTTCCTGAGCCAGCATGGCACATGCCTACCTTACGCAACACCGGACGTGCTGCTGCAATCGGTATTTGTGTGGATCGGAGCTATTTTGGGAGGAGAGACGTGGGGTAAGTGGAAGGAGATTGCAGGAGGCACAAAGATTGCAGGAGGTGGGGAAAGGAGGACTTTGCTGGGGAGAAGGACCTCTGTAGTTACTCTGTCCTGACTCTTCAAAGCCTTCTGAGCTATGGTACCCTGCAAGCACCAGGCTTAGCATTTTTACAGGTGTTTATTTCCTTCCCTCCATTTCTGTTTTCTGCCCTTGCAAATTCTGAGTTAGATTAAAAAATTAATTATTTTGTAATACCGCCTGGGGCTGCTTTGGCAGTAGTACGTGACTGTTTTTTTTACCAGGGGAATGGTGGCTGTGAACAGCGTTCTGGTTGTCCTCAAAGTGAAATACTTCAGCACTTGACCTGATCTGGAAAGAAGATCTGTTTGCTCTGACCGGAGCTTCCTTCCAGTTACCAAGGTCTGGCTGTCCTGCTCTTCTATACTGGCAAGTGATGGCATAATGTGCTCCTACACTGTAGCATATGCAAGAGGTGAAGGAAAGCAGTGTTGAACAAAGCTGATTATTTTCTTACAATAGGTTATTGTTGGTTTAGACTTAACTACCCTCCACCTGTGGTACTGCACAGATAATAAGATTAAATACCATGTGTGTTCATCCCTCATAATGAGTTATCCTTCACAGCTGACTACATGCATGAATATTTGTCCACACATACTGATTGGTAATCAATCAACTTCATGGCTTTTATAGTTCCTGATCAGTACTGAAAAACTTCTTATACATCTGCCATACAATCACAGTATCTAGATATGCAGTCTCTATTTTCATGCAACTAGGAAAGGTGCTGAACTGGTTCCTATTTATATAGCTGACTTGAAACTGTAAAGAGTGAGATAGAAATCCTCCTTCTGGATCATCTGAAAGACACCCAAGTAGCTGGAAAAAAACTGATAGTGGAGGATGTACTTGAGCATGAGAGGCCATCTGATCATTAATCCAACGTGTTAATATATTTAATTGTAGATTCTCAGCACTGTGGGACGTGTTGCAGCTGTTTTGATTCTGACCGAATGGTGTTTGCTGCATCTCTTTGGTGGTTTTGGTGACACTGGGCCAGTCTGCACCATTGGAGCATTGGCTGGAGAACATGGGATCTGGTAGTTCTGTGAATGTCAATTACAAGTACTCCCTGCAGAAGTCTGAAAACGGTGAGTGACTCTTTGAGAAGTCATCTTTTCCTGTTTGTGCACGTGCTTTAGGGAGGGTGTGGTGCATGTGTTTGTGTGCTGGGTTACCTGGTTTCCCTGATAGCGTTGAGCTGAGGTTCTGCATTTCAGGATCCTGTGACAAGGATTCTCAGCTGTCAGGCAGAAGACTAACAGGCTTGAGAAAACAACTATTTAGGCCAGGATTAGATTAAAATCACCCCTAACCTGACCAGATATGAAGCAGCAGTTAGAACTGACACCTGATGGCCTAATGACTTGCTGACTAAAGCGTGTGTTGTCGTGTGCTGGCACTGAGACAGACTTGCCAACCTGCTCATTGTCTGGGCTGTTTTCCAAGGCTGTTAGTAGTGCAGGACTGCTAAGGCAGAAGCATTAACAAAGCCAAAACAAATCTGGCTCTAAAGAAGGTGAGATGGTGTGGCTACAGAAAGCTGAAAAGTGTGCTTTTTTCCCTAGTTATATCAGCGCAGTGCTCTTAATCTCTTCTAATGACTTTAACCTGTTTATGGCTCTCAAAGCTGTAATGATCCATTTTTATGGAACTCTGTGTGTGATAGCACCAATTTCACGAGTGCGTGCCTAGATCTGGCTGTGGAACAAAGGAAGTTTGAAGGGGACTTTACACATAGGGAAGTGTTAAAAAAATTAACTTTCATTTCATTATTGTTTGTATCAGGCAGTGGCAGAACATCAGGCTGGGGCAAACTGTTTGCAAGTGCTTTGAAAAGAGGGATTGTGTTTAGAAATGAACAAAGTAGGGATACGCTGACTTCGTTTGTAATTTTTGTTAAAAAACTCCACCTTTTAAGTTAGATTTGTCTATCACCCATGGCACCAGAGAACCGTGGACTTCCCCAAGTTCAGGGTTATTTTCAGATAATATAGTGTAACATAAAACTAGTTATTTGAAATCCTGTGTTACATCTGATACCTCAGCAACAGTTTCCCATGGCAGTAAAACCTCTTTGGATTTCTTACCTGTGCTTCTCAATCCTTCAGATCTGGTGATCTGCAGATGAGGAGCTGCTTAGGACTTTACACCCACATGCGATGTGCCAGGTGTCATCCTGTCTTACCTGTACCAGGTCCAGAGGCTGCTCCTTATGCAAAGTGTAGCCAGCAGAGCTGTTCAACTGGCCCTGCCCTTGAGTGAAGAAGGGGATGGGGAATCCCTCCTGTAAGCTGATGTGTGAGCTATACTGCTTACACAAGTGTTCATATTTTGGCTTGAGTGCTGCCACTGTGGCATCCTTTCAGGAGCTTATCATGATATGTGCCTTGGACCCTCATAAAATGTGGATGAATCTTTCTCTCCCTTTTTGACTAGTTTTATCTAAACTGGTACAAAGCCTCCCAGGTGAAACTCACCCAGGTAAGCTGGTAAATTAGAACACTGGCCTTGCAGGTATTGCAGACTCAGTCTGTGTAAAAGCAGAGTGAAAAATCAGTGCCTTGTCCATCTGGAGCTTAAATGCTGTGGATGGTGGTATATATGTTAATTGTGCACTTGATAGTGTGTCTTCCCTGAGTTTTATTTTAACTGTTTCAAAGGATCTGGTTTTGACTGGTATGTGTGGAGTCACCACTAGGGATTTCTTTCCAAGCCCAGCAGACCAGTAAGCATTTGCTCAACATGAGAGAAGGCTCAGGCACAGAATACAGCAGTTATTCAAGAATAACTGGCCAAGTCTTACCTTCTTGCCCACGACTTCACTGTGACTCAGTTCCCTGCTGCACAGTAGCTGCGACACGTCTCTTTTTGTGCTTGTTCGTTCCCAGTGCTGAAACAGAACCATATTTAAAAGGGTTATTATTTTCAATACCTAAGCCATCAGGTTATCTTCTCTAGGGAAAGGTCACTGTTTCCTGCTGAAGTACATGAAGGGTGGTTTATGTTATTAATACAAGCTAATTGAATTAATATGATCTCTTAGTCTCTCAAAGGGTAGGGATCCAGAAAGGAAGGGACACAGTGTAATCAGAAGAGAGATGCTGAGTAGCAGAACTGGTCCAAGTGGGATCAAAGCCAGCTGGGGAGGATGGAAGAGTTTCTAGAGGTACATGAAGTTCTGTGGCAGAACTTGAAAAAGGAAATGGGAAACTGCACCAGCATACTTGAGTCCAAGTATGCACACACCTTAACTGAAATAATCTTTTAATGAAACACTGGAATTGGGGAAATGCAGGGGAATGAGTATGCTGAAAAGATCAGGGCAAATAGCTGCCATTCTGAAAGAAGTGCCTGATGCTGGTGATGGATTGAACCACAAACAGGCAGCTGAAAATTCCTGCCATCTCATTCCTTAAGGGGTCAAAGCTGTGTTTTCCTTTTTTCACTCTGGGTGGTAATTTAGTCTTTATTTTGAGGTAATGGTATGTTAACATTTATGCTACACTAGGTTCCCTCAAGTTCTTCCAGAACTGCAAAAGCTGAGGTAAATATTTGGCATAAAGGGAGGTAGACAATATTTTTAAGGCTGTGGAAGAGGACTTGGTGTCTTATTTCCTCCCATCTCTTTGTGTGACCCAGGTCAAATGTCTGGTTTCTTGAAGCCTTGGCATCTAGAGACTGTAAGGTGACATTATGATCAAGGGAGATGGAAACGGAGGAAATTGTCTATTAATGCTGAAGGATGTGTTTGGGTCTTTAAGCTGTTAATGGTGGTGCTGAGGAGCCAGCAGTAGTGGCTAGGAGTGCTTCAGAGGTCTCTGGTCAGGCAGGACCAGGTCAACCTTTTGCAATGTGTTGAAAAGTGGATGATTTGTTGCCCTTAATATTTAGGCATCGGAATACAATTAGTGAGGACTTGTCCTGAACATGCAGAGGTTCCTCTGTAATTTTTAGGGCTGGTGAAGGAGCAGTAGCAGGGTAGCTCAGCTCGGCTCTGTCTGTCCCCCAGCTTTCAAGGCAGCTGTTTTGATCCAGCAGTGGTATCGGCGCTATGTTGCTCGGCTGGAGATGCGCCGCCGCTGCACCTGGAGAATCTTCCAATCCATCGAGTATGCCTGCGAGCAGGACCAGATCAAGGTACTGTGACAAGCAAGTCGGGAAACATAGTGAGGTGTTTTCTGTGCCACAGGCTCGCCTGCTGCTGGCTGGTAACCCCATAAGTGCTTCAGTGGGCTAAAGACTAGGTTTTGTGCCCCCTTTGAGCCTGTTTGATTCCCTGCCTGCTAGTGTCATATGAAACCTGAAGTTATGAGCCTTGAAAGAAAGCCATAAAGACCATTAATGTTGTTTTTGTAAAGTCTGAACATAATAGGCAAGTCTATTTGTTTTGTTATACCTTAACTCCAATTATGATTCTATTAGATGGTTGCCTTGCTGTCAGGCAGGGAGAAGGGAGGGCTTGTAGCTGTATTTGTGCCTGTTTGGCTGCAGGTAAAGCTACTGCTTGCCTTCATCACAAGGTACTCCAAACTTTCATTGGTACAGTGTGATTTGTTGTACATTAGAAGGGCAGACATAATACTTCCAGAAAGATGGTCGTGCTAAGTTGCCACTCTGCAGAATTTAAAAACAGGATGAATGATGGGCTCTCTCTCTTGCAGCTTCACAACTTCTTCAGTTACCTCATGGAGCAGTTCACGCCAAGCAGCAGCAAAGAGAGTAAGTTTCCATGTGAAATAGCTGGAGCTGAACACAGCACTGCTGGTGGGGTCTCATGATCCTGACTGAGTAGGACTTTGCAGAGCCCATTTCTGAAGCAAGAATCCATCCTGCCTGACACATACACATGGAAATTTGTCCCTATAGCCTGTCCCCCACTGCAATTGTGTAGCAGTGTTGAACCAGGACCCAGGCTCTATGGGCCTGAGTTGCAGCTGAACCAAACAGCTTTTCTTTGAAAATTACTAGAATGGTACCTTGAACTAATCAACTTTTTCTTGTCTCTCTCTTTTTGGAAAAAATCAATTAAACCCCCTGATCTGCATCCAGGGGATTTTATCAGTCGCATGTTCATAACTGGAGAAAGCTACAAAGAGGCAGAGCTGGAAAAATACTGTGACTATGAATCCATAGAGGTGCCAGACTCCTACACTGGACCCCATCTCTCTTTCCCACTCCTTCCTGACCATGCAACTGCCTTGCTGGAAGCTTTCAAACAGAAACAAGTAAGGATCCCAACAGGAATTATGCTTTCCCCTTCTCGGGGGGGATGTAGGATAGTTAATTTGATTTTAGCCTTCCCAACAGGCTAAGGTGTATGGAGTGTAACAAGCTGGCAGGCTGTTAAACAGCAGGGGGCGGAAATGATATAATATTTTCCCCTGCCATGGGAGTTTTTTTCTTTCTGAAAATGCAATTCTGACAAAACTGCAAACTTTATGTGGGGGCGTGTACCAGTATCAACCTGAATTTAATTCCTAAAGGAAGAAATCCACAACAGCTCACATTTAATCTTTTTCTCAGTTTTTGTTCAGATTTCTGCACTTGCAAAAAAACATAGCACGGCCCAGATGGAAACAGCCAATTAAAATGTTTTGTGCCACACGACTGACTTGCATTTAAAATGTAAATTGTGAGGTCTTGGAGGAAGTCCAGTACCACTTCAGCAGCACTAACACAACAAGCCCTCGTACAACTGCAGTGTTCTGCTGCCATCCTCAGTCAAGGTGCTGAACTGCAGAATAGACCAAAACACTCCTCCAAAAAAACCAATTCCCAAATCAAATGTCTTATGTCCCATCTATATTAAATGCTTACACCCTGGCTTGGAACAAGTATGTTTCTGCAGGACACATGGAAATGTGTGGCTTGGTTTAATGGGGGGAAGCTAAGAAAGATCTAGAGGAACAGCCCCTTACCTGTGATACTGGGCTGGAATTTCCCTGAAATTTGTCCCAGGGCAAGTTTCTCCCATCTGGGCTGTTCTGGTGGGCCCTTTGCAGACAGAGCTGTGGTGCTGCTCAGAGGCCAGTGATTTCCTGCTTTAATCCCTTGGCTTTCTCCCAGTAGCAGCTCCACGCTCGCTATGTCTTAAACCTTCTGCATGAGACCAGGAAGCACCTCAAGCAGCTGCCAAACATCAGCCACGTCTCCACCTGCTACAGCGAGGAGGTCACTGTGTGTGGTATGTCAGAGACTGCGGGATGCTCAAGTGGGAGCGGTGGGAAAGGCGTGGAATGGCAGAGATCACGATGCCCTCCTCTGTGTTTAGCATGGAACATGAAACACAAATGCTGTCTGTAAGCATGTGTGATGCACTGAGAGACAACTGTCTGTCTGAAATACCTGAGTTGTCTTTGTTCTGTCACCCCAAATGTGGAGGAGTTTTACTAAACCACAGAAACTGCCCCAGCTGAGGACTGGCCTCAAAACTCCTGCATGCAGTCAGCTGTTTTTAGCTGTCCTTTTCAGGCTTCAACTCAAGCCTTACATCATGTCCTTTTCCTCCAGGCACACTGCCTTAGTGTAAGGAAACATTTACTTTGCACTTTCCAAAGTGTTTCAGTGGTTGTTAACTTATAAAGGAGACACTTCATAGGAAGTTATTTATTAGTGTCTTTTTAAGTTCAAGGTAAACACACTGACCTGTCTTTGTACCTCTTAGGAGACTTGCACGGCCAGCTGGATGACTTGTTCCTCATATTTTATAAGGTAGGCACCAAATCTGGAGAGGGAGGCACTAGGAGAGGTATTGCACAGGTCATGCTGAGAACTGTTTGCAATATGGGGCCTTTCATGTCCAGTTCTCCAGGTCAGTTGCATTGGTATTAAAAGCCTTCATAAAGCAGCAGCTTATTCCCTTGATGACTTTGAAATCTGATATCCATGTCCATTTTGGTAGTGCCAGTGGGCATTTTTTGAGTGCTGATACCAATAGCAACCCTTGCTGACTTCCACTGCTTTTGGCACTGGGGCTCTACAGAATAAACCCAAGTCAGGATATGTATTGTGTAAGGTAACCTGGGACAGGAGTGACAGACTGTGCAGCTGTGGGGGGGAGGCATATGGAGACCACAAGGCCTCTCTGGTAACATCCACCTGTTCCTTGCTTTTACAGAATGGCCTTCCTTCCCCTTCCAAGTCCTATGTGTTTAATGGAGACTTTGTAGACAGAGGCAAACAGTCCCTTGAGATCCTCATCATCCTCTTTACCTTCCTGTTGATCTATCCAAAGGAGGTTCACCTCAACCGTGGGAACCACGAGGACCACATGGTCAACTTACGGTACGGGTTCTGTGCAGGGCTGAGAGCCATGTCAAGGGTTTTGTGTGAAATCCTCCCACTCAACTGCCTTTCTCCTGTTCCTTTAGCTATGGCTTCACCAAGGAAGTGATGCAGAAATACAGGGTAGGCATATGTTTGTGTCTCCTTTATATGTGAAACTTTGAAGACCGGATGCTTCATCTTTTCCTTTCTGACCTGCCCTCCTAGGTGCATGGGAAGAAAATCTTAAGGATGTTCCACAATGTCTTCTGCTGGCTGCCCCTGGCCACTCTGATAGATCAGAAAGTCCTTATTCTACACGGGGGCATCTCTGACACCACTGACCTGGACATGCTTGAGAAAATTCAAAGGGACAAAGTAGGTTTCATTTCCTACTTCCTTTCCTTTGTTCTGCAGCGTAGTTCCCATTGCAGATTAAATCCGTGTGCTCTGCCTTTTGTGCAGCATGGAGTCCATAAGGAGATCTGATGGGTATGGGGCCCAGCTGTAAACCCAGAATGGCACATCCAAGTGGATGGTGCTAGTTAATCAGCAGCTGATGACAGCAAAGGGAATTGGGACTTGGAGGTCTGGGTCACTTGGTCAGCCAATGGAAGATGATACAACTGGAGGTGTGGGTTTCCAAGCAGTGTGATCAGCTCCATTTCTCTCATTCTTTCAGTTTATTTCTGTATTAAGAATGAAGAAAAGGAAGGAGTCAAATAGAAAAGCGGAAATGTGGAACATAAACGGGGAGAGCAAATCAGAGGCTGATGCAGCAGGGAACGAGGCAGCTCCTAGGCTATCTCTGCAACCCCAACCAGCCCAGGCTCCCAGCACAGCTAACAGGCTGGAGTTCTCCAAGTGGCTCCGGCAGACGGTGCAGGAGCAAATCGACACGTGCCGCCGGCTGGTGGACATCAGCGAGTCGGAGCCAGAGGAGCTCACCTACTCCAGCATGGTCTCCCTGAAGTATGGGGATGAGCCGTGCTGGACTCACCAGGAGGAGTGGCAGCAGGTGAGCAGTCTGTGGGGCCCTGAGCTTGGTGAGCCATGGGTGCCTCCTGCAGTAGTTGATCCTTCAGTGCTAAATGGCCAGTAAGGGCTGTACTGTCAGCACATGGTGATCTCTGCTGCCCCGGGGATATTTTGTTAGGCACCTATGCTACCTCCTTGGGGACTTGGTTTCTTTGGTTTTCTTGTCTGTAATTCTCCTCTGAGTGTTCTGTAACCATGGTTACTTATTCCACATTACATAAGACATCCCAGTGCTGCACATCTTTTCAGTGTAAAGCTGTATATTGAGGTCACGGTTAAAGAGATTAAACTTTAATCCAGACAGTAGTTACTGAGTCAGCACTTGAATTTCTGGAGGCTGCAGAGTGTCCTCGGTAGAGAATAAAGGAGTTTAATACTAAGCCTGCTTGTGCCCTCAGAATCTGGAGGGTGTTCTTGCCCTGGGACTTGTGCTTTAGGATGGAGAAGGACAAGCAAGGCTCTTGGACATCTTAGAGGTGGCAAAGGCAAAGCTTGTATCAGATCTGATTTTTGGACACCTCTCTTTCCCCGGGTGTGCCTGTAACTTCAGGCCAGCAATACTGTCATCTCTAAGGTGGCCCAGGTCTGTGACAGCTCAGCTGGAATGCGGGAAACATGTCTGTTCCCCTGCACTATGGTAACTGCAGCAGTGCAGGGAGAGATTCAGAGACTGAGCTATATTTGCCTAGTAAAGCCTGGCAGGTGATATCTGCTGTGGGTACACTTTATTCAGTGAACTCTTGCAATCCTTTCAGATCCTAAACATTCTCTGGAGTGACCCCATGCCTCAGGAGGGCTGCAGAGCAAACAAGGTGCGAGGTGGTGGCTGCTACTTTGGGCCTGATGTGACAGAGAAGTTCCTTGAGAAATACAACTTGCAGTTCCTCATCCGCTCCCATGAGTGCAAGCAAGAGGGCTACGAGTTCTGTCACAGCCGGAAGGTCAGTGTGAGGGGGATGGCTTGTGTCTTCATCCTTCCAGGGTAGGATTGCTGTAGGAGTGGCTTCTCTCAGCTTTAAGTTTCTTCCAGTGGGACTTTTAAGTACATGCAACACCACGGAACAGCCTTATTGGGAGTTATTGAAGCATTTCCAGCTGTTAGGGCTGTCTGGAGCCACCTGCTCTGCTGGGGCCATGGCTGAGCAGGTAGAGGATGTCCTCGTGTGTGGCAGCAGGGAAGATGTAAACCCACTGGTACCATGGCCCCTACTTAGTGCAGCTGTTCCTGAAGATGGCATACAGAAGGTATTACTGAGCTGCTGCAGCCAAGCACTGCTCTCAGAGGACTCAGTGTCACTTCAATGACTTCATCAGGTGCACACTCTGCTCTAGGCAGTGGATTTGTTGGGAGAGCACAGTGAAATCACAGAAGCCCGATATGTGGCCAGATCCATGAGATCTGTGCTGCCCTTGTGGAGCTTGCATGTGTAAGGCTTCCAGGCCAGCTGCAACTTCACTCTCCCACAGTCTGGATTCTGGATGGGATGACAGGTGCTGTTTACATGTACGTATATGTTACAGGATGCATGCACTGACTGTAAATGTCTCTCTTTTTTGGGGTTTAGGTGCTGACCATATTTTCAGCCTCAAACTACTATGAGATTGGCAGCAACAGGGGAGCCTACGTGAAGCTGGGACCGGACCTCGTGCCCCACTTCGTTCAGTACCAAGCAAACAAGGCGGCCCATACGCTCACCATGACCCAAAGGCAAGGTGTTCTGATTGCTCTGGATTCAAGTCAAAATTCCAAAAGGGTAACTCTGTGGCCTTTGAGAGATTCTGGAGCTGAACTTTGACAGCTTGATTTTCTAAATACTAGCCCTCGAGGAGGATTCAAACTTTGTGCAGAAGTTAGAGGGAGGCTGCTCAGGGATTGAGGAGGGAGTGTTACAAGATCCCAAGGGCATTTTCTTTACAGAGTAATTTTTCAGTTTCTCTTTTCAAAGTCAACTTTTAACTTTTAACCCTTGAGGTTCCCTTCTGCTCTACTACTTTACGTATTGATGTGGGGATTCCTGCATCAGCGGTGTGCCCTGGGCATGTAGTGCGTTGCTACGAGCAGAGATGTAGCTGTAGCTGTGCAGAGGAGTTGTGTGAGGCTCTAGGAAATCCACAGACAAGCCAGAGGACTGTGAAGGTGCAGCTTCTCTTGCAAGTCCTTCATGTGCTTCTCTCTGTTCTGCATCCTCCAGAATCAGCAGAGTAGAGGAGTCTGCCTTCCGAGCCCTGCGGGAGAAGCTCTTTGCTCACACCTCCGCCCTCATCAGCGCGTTCAAGGCCTACGATGAGGACAACACAGGTACAGCTGAGCTGAGGGATGTGTGAGTCACCTGCTAGGGCAGGGCTGAACTGACTACATTGAGTGGCTGGTTGGAAGACCCCTCACTTCCTGTGCCTTCAGCTGCTAGAGTCCCAGAGGTCTCCTTGTCTCTCCCTTTCCCTCCAGGAAGGATCACGCTGAGCAACTGGGCGACAGCAGTGGAGTCAGTCCTGCGCCTGGGTCTGCCCTGGCGAATGCTGAGACCGCAGCTGGTGCGCAGCACGGAGGATGGCATGCTGGAATACAAATCCTGGCTGGATGACCTGGCCATGGAGCAGCGGAGCCAAGAGGTAACTCTGGATGCAGGCTTGCGGGTAGGAAAAGTGTATTTCACTCTGATTGCAGTTTCTTAATTACACCCAGCACATCCAACTCTGCCATGGTCACAGCCTGGAAAAGTGCTGTTGGTAGGGACAGGCTGCTGATGGTCTGTACTGCAGTTGCACAGAGCGTCCAGTTA